TGGCATTATAACCACGTGACATTTACTCCGATTGCCAAAAATTTTATGTTATATTGTAGATTGATCTATATGTTATCCATTCTATGTGTTAGACTTACGATAAAAGTAAAGGTGGGGATACCAGAGAGCTTCAAAGTAGGATGGTACCCTCCAAAAAAAACTGGGTCGAGTCGCCTTAACACACCAAACATGTATGCTGGAACTGACAGTACTGCAGCATGCCCTGAAATGTTGTCACCTTTGAACTGTATTGACTAACTTTTATGTATACCACCCATCAAACTAACAATTTGAACTCTGGAATTTTTTTTCAACAACATTGGCTAATTTCAAAGTACAGACAGTACATTTGTGACTATTCATTACTTGCACTCTGCCATTTCATCCTGTTGTGAATGTGTTTCCACCAATCACCGAATGCATTGCCGCCTCAAATTCTGAAATGGTTTGGAAACTTTAGCTCTAGCAAGCAGGTTGATGCAAAAATGCTGTTTGTACTCTCACAAGAGACTGTTATACGTCGTGGAAGGATGCTTTTTGCTGAGCACCTTGTACCAGTGACGAACCTCAGGAAATCATCGAGGCCATCTGCATTACAATTCTTGAAGAATGTCTGGAGCAACTGGAATACCCTTTGAGCATTCTTGTCCTCAGAGGCTGGGAAATGAAGGCTACTGGCCACAGAATCATTACTTACTATTCCTTGGTAGACAAAGCATTCTTCAAACATCTCCGGCTTTCTTTGTATTTCATCTAACAAACCGAGGATTGACAGCCCCTTTCTAAATTGATCAAGAATTGCCTTCTTCTTCACTAGAATGTTGTGAAGCATTAGAGACTGGCGGACATTGAGCTTGTTATCAGCCTGCAAGAATACATTATTTAATATTATTGTTTTATTACTGTCAATTATTTACAGCAACAGGTTACAATAATATTGTAACCTGTTCCTTGAATTATTTGTGACAAGCATGGTGCAGGGCACCCTACTTGACTACCAGAATCGATCAGCATTTTTCTATGTTTTAACAAAACTACTTCTTTTCACAGTTAACCACCAATTTAACGGACCTCCAAACTGCAAAATATAAATTTCTTTGCCTCTATTTATACCATGTGGCACTTAGCAGAAAACACATACGGCTATATTTTATTGTAGTGTTAACTAAATGTGCCCTATCTAACTTGTCACTACATAATAAATTAGGTTTCTACTTACTGTAAGTATTCTAATCTCTCCAGCTTCAGATAACAATCTGATAAAGCCAGATTCAAAGGCAATGACATTAAGCTTATCTGCTGGTGCTTCTGTGACCTGCAAGTATAGGATATGGTTATCAGTGATAATTTCAAATGTCCCTTTCTATTACTATTGTCTACTGCCATTGTATGTAAATGTATGGCAGTCAACAAGAATTAAGAGAAACAAAAATTTAAACCAGGAACAAAACTGAGCCAAAGCGTAGTGAAACCTGTATTAAGCAGATGAATGGTTTGTCTATTTGTTTTCTTTTTTTTTCAAACGTTTCTTCGCATGTTTTCTGTACAACCTTTCATTAAGCAGACTCCAGCAAAGGTCCTGCAGGTGTCCACTTAATACAGGTTTCACTGTATAGAACAAACAATAAACTTACCCTCTTGATGTACTCGGCAAGTTCAATGTCATCCACGCCTTCTGGATGGCAATCTTTAGATCACCAGTTGCCAGATACCAGTAAATGGTAGGAGACAGGTATGGGAATCCTGGACCTGACTGGATGAGGCTGTGAGCTATCATTTTACCCAACACTTCAAACAGTCCATTCACAACCAGTTCATTGCTGAATGCAGGTACTTTACTGTTTTTATCTCCATTAAAAGCATTCTTAATTCCTTCATTGTTTGCCATGGCATAAAAAACATCACTAAATACCTGCCATAATACGCCACCACTGTCTATAGCTGGCTGACCCTTTAGTAACACAAAAACAGGAATTGTAGGGTCAAAGTCAGGACTTTGATAGAAGCTATAAACATCCATCACTAGATCATCTTGATCAACCTTGATCTTTTACGAGTTCCCCTTGGCTGCATCTTTGACCTTAAACGTTGCAGCATCTGCGGAAGAGTTTCTGGTCCACTTGAGATCTCTGGAGTGTGGTCGTCGTCAATAATAGCAACAGGGTCATTGCCTGCTGCATTGTACTGTAAAAGAACATTTACAGCAGAGTTTAAACTGCCACAGGTCATGACAGCACTTTCAATTACATCTCTTGGAATCCTAGGAAAGATTGAAGCAAGGTTATCCACTTTCTGTTGATCTATAAGTAGCGAATCGATTGCCCCTGAAGGTCTTAATTCATTCTCGTCGTCATCACCACAAACAGTACTAAGGCCAGCATCTGATGTAGTGTTCTGGGAGATTGCAGAGACACCCCCAAAGCCACTAAAAGCATGTAACCCACTAGGTCCAGCCTCAGCACTGGTCGAAGGAAAACTTGTACTTGGAGCAGGAGCTGGTGTCTCGGCGATACTACCTTTCTCATCCTCGACTAGTGTGTCTTTGGATACATTGAGTCTGACATACAAGCGTCCAGTTCCGCAAAGATGTTTTACATGTTTGAAATCCCACACATGTTCCTTCTTCACTACAGGATTAGAGATAATATTCCTATCACGTCTGACAAAGTCGAAATCGCCATTTGTTATGAATGGAAGTCTTGTTTTAAATAAGTTAACCAATTCTGATCGTATGCCATTTTCATCGGCATCGCAATAAAGATCGTACTCTCCCTTCAAGATAATCATCGACTCCGTCAAGCTGTATTCCTCGTCATCTTCAACGTCTGGCTCATCCAATAAGTATACACTTTTTGGAATAGTTTCGGGAGTGGCCGTCTTCGATTTTTCTGATCCAAACCTTAAGGGATGACCTGGCAAGGGTCGCTTCGACTTGGAATTTTGATTCTGAGGCAAAGGTTGAACACTTCCACTATCGGACAAGTTCCGCGCGGAAAAAGATGCTGATTCGCGGATTAAGTTGCGTGTTCTGTTAACAAGTGTCTGAGTCCCTTGAGAATTGTTTAGTTCCTCACGAATGCAAGCGCGAACCTCGTTGCGAATGGACTCTCTATCCGGCACTCCCGCCATTTTGAGTTCACTCGCAAATCATATCTCCTAGCATGCACTCCGGGCTACATAGTCAGTAGCGCAAAGCATATTGGGATTTGTTTACTTTTTAGGTGATTGTTGAATGTGATCGATATCCTTGAACATGTTGAATGTGATCAAATTTGAATTAATAAATTATGCAGCATTTGGCTTCCATAGTTTGTTGAATATAATGCGTGACTTTGAATGTGATCGACATGCTTGTTGAACGTGATTAATTTTCGATGTGTTGAATGTGAATGTCTGGAATGTTCATGTTGAATGTGATGTATGATCTTGGCTTGAATATGATCTAGATGCCTGTTGAATTTGATTAATTTTCATGTCTTGAATGCGAATGTGATCGTTGAATGTGATCGTTATCCTTGAATGTGATCAAATTTGAATTCTTGAATTTTGCACCATTTGGCCTTCCATACTTTTTGAGCACTATTTAGAGATTTTGAGCACTTTTTAGCCATTTTTGCCAGCACTTTTTTAGGATTTTACGAGCGCAATCGGGAAAGGCCTAGACCCAGGCCTAATATACCAAGCCACGATATCGCGTCCCTGCATTTTCTAACAAACAAATTTATTACTGGCCATACTTTGATTTCATTTAATAAATTAGGTCCAAATGGAGCAATCTCAGACTCTTCAATTGTAAAAAACTTGAGTTCAGCTACATTTGATGAATTTCAGTCAGTATGGTGAAAACAGATCATTGGTTTAAAACATTACAGGTTTTAGCACTATAACAGTCATAAGACATACCGTAATAAGTTATCTTCCTGCAATTTTGAGACAATTGTGCTACTTTTGCTCAATTTTCCTTATCAGAAATTGGGTGACTGACTAGTAGTGAAGCACAGCGCCATGTTATCTTTATTGCAACACTTTTTACATAACAAAATCCAAAAACAAAAGACTGTAATTATGTTCACTCAGGAATTTACACTACCTAAATCTGTGGTTTTCGCTTCCGGTGTGGCAAGTTCAACTTGGCTGGTTTCCGCTTCCGGTCTGGCAAGCCTTTCAGTCATTTGCGGCGGAAGGCGTTGTAGTCCCTTTTTTCTTTTTGTGGATTTGCGTGAACAAAACAGACCTAAACGGAAGAAATCGATTCCAGGCAAGATCATATTTCCCCCATTATAGCTTAAAAGACATTAGGAGATCGATAAATAGTCATGATCAGCGGCACCCAGCGACGGTTTCCTCCTAAATGCTTTGAAAACACTTTTTAGGTTATCCAGAGTACGTACTTTTAGATCTCTAGGAATGTATTCTAGGTGGCGCTAAAAAATTTTTATCTCTTCGGTCATCCTATATAGGGCACCGTGAGTCATTTCGGAATTTCAAGGGCTGCAGCATTATATATTATATTCCCGAAAATTTCACAGAAAATAGTCATCGTGTGCCCTAAATAGTATTCTTTTGTAGGTACCATCATCGGCTCCTGGTACCATAGACTGTCCAATTTTGATGTTTTAATTAACAATTAATGAATGAGGCTGAGTATCTTATGAAGAATTATGGAGATCGAGGAGGGTGTTATCGGGCGGATAACACCCTCCGAGATCTCCATAATTCTTCATATAATATGATAGCCGAATTCAATAATTGTTTTATTATTCATTCAAAATAATTCCTAGTTTAAAAACATGGCTAAAACATGCTTACCTCCATCGATCCATCGATGTTAAGTTCATCTTCGACAGTGCACGTTTAGGTTTGTCCAGCTCCGCAAATATTCTCCAAATAGCAGATGTCGCCCTTTGAGTTGTCTTCTTGCTGTTTTTGCCATGTTTTTAGCTATTTTTTCGCCTAGTTCTTACTCTTGAGAACGAGTGAAATGACCGCCACAACTCAACCTGGTCCCCAGGTCTTCTCGGTTAACGGTGCCTTAACCTGCACGATTTCAGCATTTTTGACGTCATTTCCTCGTTAAACACAAAATTCTTCCAAATTTGGTCATCAGTAACTGGTTATGGTGAATTAAACGTGTGCTTTTGGCCAATCAGAATCGGGGAAATATTTTGAATGAATAATAACACTTGTTAATGGACTTCACTCTCAAAATTGGTCAAAAGTAGACCTCATGATCACATGTGAGTAAGAAGGCCAGAGGTGAGAGGCTGAGTATTTAACATAGTTCTTCTAAGTGTGTCCTGCTCCGGCCTCAAATCAGTAAAAAATCGTGATAACCTTAGCTGGTCCTCACTGTTATATATATTTATTTGCACAATGTGGTGAGTATTACGCGCACTGTGATAGGTCTTTGCCCATGATCTATTAGGAGCCAACCATTTTATTTCTGACGGGGTGGGGATGATTTTGAAAAAAAAATTCCTACAAGTGCATAAGGGTGAGAAACAAAATCCTGCATAAGTCCACCGTTCAAAAAAAATTCACGGACATACAGTGGGCGAGAAACGGCTTCTCTCAAAAAAACTTCGCGATAAATATTTCACTATCTTCTACGCGTCTTTTTGTTTTGGCCGTGGAAATCATCATCTTCATTAAGTACCTCACCTTTAATCCTCTTTAGCAGGGGACGTTTAGTGTTATCCACCTCCTTTTCATGCTCATTGGAAGCTGCAAGCAATAATGATGATGGTAATAAGAGTAGTAATAATAATGATAGTAATAAAAAATGGTAATAGGACTGAGTGGAGTACAATTCGGTCTGTAATCATGGGAGCGATCTGTTTAATCACGAGTATGATAATGTGAAAATATGATAACGTCTGTGATTGGTAGATTTAGCTGAATGCACTTAACATGATTGGCTAATGTAACTGTCCGATTAGAGTCAACTGTCCGACTACACTGTCCGATTACAACCCTACACATGCTATAATTCGGTGAAAAATTAAGCTGTTAATACACCAATCAAATTTGAGGAAATTGTAATGGTTGTGATAATAATAATAATAATAATAATAATAATAATAATAATAATAGTAATAATAGTGATTGACTTGAGTGACTGACGCTCTAGGTGCATGGTTTGCGCCCGGCTGATGCACAAAAACAACACCAGCAAAGACTGTGATAAAAGAGATAATAATAATAATAATAATAATAATAATAATAATAATAATAATAATAATAATAATAATAATAATAATAATAATAATAATAATAATAATAATAATAGACACCTAAGGCTATAGGAGATAGCTTGATAGCTTGAGGGCCACCTTGAGGTGTGAGATATGCACATAACAATAATACTCGGCAAACTAATAGTATTAATGTTGCTCTATACAAGATGTACTACTTTAAAATATTAACTTGGGTGAAGGGAAAGTACAAGGGTGCCACTGAGATGCCGCTAAACTTAAGTATGTGGTTTGATGTAAGGATTTTTTCGTTGCTGTGTCTCTATTGAGCGTAAGGGCCTGTCTTTAAGATGGTGCTGAGTGCAATTTACATTAAAACAAACACATTACAGTTTAAGGCATTTAATCACGCATTTGTGAACATAAGATTCAAGCAAGAGGGGGACAGAACAACCTAGCCGTGATCATAAGCAAACTAAAGGCACGTTGTGCCAGTGTGGATATTTTCACACCCTGCTTAAGCACACAAATGCATACCTCTGGGTTGTTCCAGATACGTCTCCTCTTTATAATTCGCTGGCAATTGCAATCCTTGCCTCAATTCCGTTTGCTTTTCATCAACCAAAGCTTTTGTTTTTGTAAAAAAGGGGATTAGAAGTCAATAACATCTAATTTCTATAGTAGCTTAGCTTTGAACCTTACTTCATTGCGTCAGTTAAATAGGCCCCTGGCGACAGCGACGAACTCATGACACAAGATGATTGCCCTTATATTGGCACTGAGATAGCCTCACTCTGCTCATACCTTCCACATCTTTTTAAATTTA